AGAGCTTCATTCACAACTGTTTTCTTTTTATTAACTTACATTTTTTTAAATTTTTTTCTTTTTTATTAAATGTATTGGGGTGGCACTGGTTAACAAAATTATACAGGTTTCAGTTGTACATTTCCATAATACATCATATATATATTGTATTGTGTGTTCACCACCCCAAGTCAAGTCTCCTTCCATCACCATTAATCCCCTCTTTCCTGGCCCCCATTTCCCTCTGATAATCACCATAGTGTTGTCTGTGTCTATAAGCTTGTTTCTCTTTTTGCTTATTCCTTTCACCATTTTCACTCAGCTCGGCAACACCTCCCCCTGACAGCTGTCAGTCTGTTCTCTATGAGTTTGTTTCTATTTTGTATGTAAGTTTATTTTGTTTATTAGATTCCACAGATGAGTGAAATCATATGGTACTTGTCTTTCTATGACTGGCTTATTTCACTTAGCATAATGCTCTCCAAGTCCATCCATGCTGTCGCAGACGGTAAGGTTTCCTTCTTTTTTACAGCCAAGAAATATAAAACCACCGAATAGGTAAAAATTTAACATAAAAATTAAACATGAAATTACCAGATGGTCTAGCAATTCCACTATAGGTATATACCCAAAAGAACTGAAAGCAGAGACTCAGGGATTATTTGTACAGCAATGTATACAATTGCATCATTCCTATTACCAGCCTAAAGGTGCTAACAACTCAAATATCCACCAACATTTGGATGGATAAACAAAATTTAGTATTACACATACAATGGAATATTATTCAGCCTTAAAAAATAAATGAAATTCTGATACATGCTACAGCTTAAACAAACCTTAAAAACATTATGCTAAGTGAAATATGTCAGACACAAAGAACAAATATTGTGTGATTACACTTAAAGGTACCTAGAATAGTCAAATTCATAGAGACAGAAAGTAGAATGGTGATTTGCTAGAGAGAAATGGGGAGTTATTGTTTAATGAGTAGTTTCAATTTGGGATGATGAAAGAATTCAGAAGATGGACAGTGGTGATGGTTGCGTGACAATGTAAATGTAGTTAGTGCCACTGAATTTTATTTATTTATTTATTTATTTTTAATATTTTATTGATTTTTTACAGAGAAGAAGGGAGAGGGATAGAGAGTCAGAAACATCGATGAGAGAGAAACATCGATCAGCTGCCTCCTGCACACTCCCCACCGGGGATGTGCCCGCAACCAAGGTACATGCCCTTGACCGGAACCGAACCTGGGACCCTTAAGTCCGCAGGCCAACGCTCTATCCACTGAGCCAAACCGGTCAGGGCGCCACTGAATTTTAAAATGATAAAAATGTTATATACATTTTACACAATAAAAAAGGTAAAAATAAAAAGGAAACATTTAGATAGAATTTGTTGTTGGCCAACTGAAGAACTATGGTTTGGTAGTAGCAATAAGAAGCTGGTAGAATGACAGCCTCACATTCTACCCCCTGTTAGAGAGTACATTAGGATATACTCCCTGTACTTAAAAGATTTCTCAGGGATTGGTAGTTATTAGGGAAAAGACAAGTTTTATGAAGGTAAGGCATTCTCAAAAAGGCTGAGGCTGTAATTAAATGTCTAAGAATCACAAAAGGAGTTTTAAGCTACACAGTGTAAAAGAATGTTTTGGGCTGAACAATACAAGGATGAGAATACAGGGCTATTCAATTAAGGTAGGAGATTGAGAATAGAGGAGAGAGAGGAAAGAAACCTGTTAAGGGAATTGACCCTCAACAGCCTCAGAGTTCCAAATAGACCAGTTTTGTACACTACAACTACAGCAAACCTCTGAGGAATACAGTGAAGCAATATAATGAAGTCACTATAGTCAAGCTGCTAAATTACTAAAATCAAGTAGGTTTTATCTAGCCTGAGAACTTAAAACTTTTGAACTTTCCAGTCCTACACCAATGCCTGGATATAAATCAGACCTCCACCCCCTCAAGGACTCATGTATACAGACCACCTGATATCCACTATCCAGACCACCAGATGTGATCAGATCTCCTGGCGCCCATCCTCCATACTATCCAGACTGCCCAATATCTGACCGATAACTGTCCTGGACCAATCCTAGGGCTAAGAATGCAGAACTTATTATTCTCAAGAATATATTTTTACTATAAAAACTCTTAACTTGTCTATCTTCTATGGAACACTTCTGGGTTTTTGCCTAGTTGTATTTTTGTTTTGCAAAGCCTAAGACCCTTGAATAAATCTTTATCATTTATTTCTAGTCAAAGCCTCCAGACTCTTTTTGAGTTTGTTTGACACCTTCATTAAGCACTTGTTATATGTCAGCCACTGTTCTAACAAAATGGGTCTTGGTGATCCTGCCGACAACCAAACTTCTCCGCCTCTCAATTACATGAAGAGGTTAACTTAATATTCAAATAGTATAAAATAGTCCTGGTATAGCTGGGATTTCTGAAACCAACTGCTTGCAGGTTTAAGAAAGGGTGTTTTTCTTTTTGAAAACACAACTCATTTTCCCTCAACAACATCTTTCAGGTATCTTACCACATTCATTAATAAATACATAAAAACTGCATTTAAGCCGAAACCGGTTTGGCTCAGTGGATAGAGCGTCGGCCTGCGGACTGAAGGGTCCCAGGTTCGATTCCGGTCAAGGGCATGTGCCTGGGTTGCGGGCATATCCCCAGTGGGAGATGTGCAGGAGGCAGCTGATCGATGTTTCTCTCTCATCGATGTTTCTAACTCTCTATCTCTCTCCCTTCCTCTCTCTGTAAAAAATCAAGGAACTGGAGAGCATTATGCTAAGTGAAGTAAGCCAGTCAGAGAAAGATAAATACCACATGATCTCACTCATTTGTGGATTATAGAGAACATAGACTGATGAAAAGGGACAGACCCAAAGACTGAGAAACAGCAATCAGGCTATCAATCCCCAGAAGGAAGGTAGGGGAGGGCGGGGGTAAGGGGAAGAGATCAACCGAAGGACTTGTATACATGTATATAAGCCATACCAATGGACATGGACAACAGGGGGATGGGAGCATGAGTTTGTGTGTGGGGGGGGGAGAGGTTGGGGGTTAATGGGGGGGATGAGGACACATTTGTAATATCTTAATAAAAATATATATATATATATATATATATATATATATATATATATATTAAAAACAAACAAACAAAAAACTGCATTTAAATAGTAAAAGAATAAGTAGGTACTCCTTAACCTTTGGTTATTCAGCCATAGATTTAGTGTGTGTTTTGCTTTCTTGTCCTTCTCCCACTCTCAACCCCCAACTCTGACTCCAAAATATAAATAACTTTATTGTTTTGGGGTTATAAAAAAAGGGACACATGCTTTTATTAAATATCCTATATAATAAAAGGATAATATGCAAATTGTCCCCACGGGCAGTAATTTGACTGACTGGGAGTTAGATGTGCACGGACCACCAGGGGGCAGCGTGGAACATGGCGGGTGTCGGTGACCCAGAGCTGGCAGTGGGAGGCAGTGGAGCGCTGCAGGCCCCGATGGGCCCCAATGTAAGCAGGACTGCTGCGGGATGGTGGAGCAGGTGAGCGGGTGGCACCAGGCCAAGGGGGGTGCAAGCAGGGGTCCCAATCGCCCCGCCGGCCAGGCCTAAGGACCCTACCCATCCTCGAATTTCATGCACCGGGCTTCTAGCGTGTGTGTGTGTGTGTGTGTGTGTGTGTGTGTGTGTGTGTGTGTGTGTATACCAGCCGTGGGCAAACTACGGCCCGCGGGCCGAATCTGGCCCGTTTGAAATGAATAAAACTATTGAAAAAAAAGACCGTACCCTTTTATGTAATGATGTTAACTTCGAATTTATATTAGTTCACACAAACACTCCATCCATGCTTTTGTTCCGGCCCTCCGGTCCAGTTTAAGAACCCATTGTGGCCCTCCAGTCAAAAAGTTTGCCCACCCCTGGTGTATACACACACACACACAGTTATTTCTTTTATTGATTTTTTTTTTTTTTTTTTTTTTTTTACAGAGAGGAAGGGACAAGGAGAGGGATAGAGAGTTAGAAACATTGATGAGAGAGAAACATCGATTCAGCTGCTTCCTGCAACCAAGGTACATGCCCTTGACTGGAATTGAACCTGGGACCCTTCAGTCTACAGGCCGATGCTCTATCCACTGAGCCAAACTGGTCAGGGCTAGTTATTTCCTTATTTGCAAATAACGTCACCTCAAATGGTTCTTTATTTGCACTAATAAAAATAGTATGGGTTACTTTAAGGTAATAAATGACCTAAAGAACCATGCAAATCAATAAAAATAAAAAATATTCTATCATTTCAACCTAAATTTTGGTAATGGGAAATACTTAATATTTTTAGCATTAAAGATTCTTCAATCCTAATTTTAAAAAGTAAATAAGCCTATTTTCACCAACTTCATGAAGTTTTAGTGTAGTTTTCAGTAGTATCTATATGCATTAATTTCTAAACTTTACACTTAAATTATCACCCAGAAATATAGATTTTTTTCCAAATTATGTCTATCAATACTAATTTACTGCCTTTCAAGAGTCAAAGTGCTTTTGGAAACATGGCAAAATACAATTGAAGTTTCATTCTTTTGTTAATGTAAAATTATCAACAAACTACAAAACTGATGTAGGTAAGTCAACCCTATATGGAGCAGAATAAACAGCCATGCAAACAATCTAATCTGGAGAGGCCTTTAAAAAAAACCTACAGTGCTGAATGAAAATGTCTACCACCAGAATCATCCCTTTAGGTTACTGTATTATTTTCAGAACACATTTGTTAAAATGTAAATGTCCACTAGGAAGAAGGGATTATATGTGTAAAAAAGAAATAGCTTATAACATTTTTTAAATTTAAAGAGCACAATGTACTCAGTAAATATTATCTGGTAATTAAAAATAATACTTAAATTCACTACTTCAAGGAAAATAGGTTACATAGTGATCAAGTACTAAAAACCATATATATTCAAAGTAATGACACTTCGGACTTACCTCTAAAATGTGACTAGCTCTAGATGGTGAGTGACTATCAGCCTGGACCACCGTTACCTGTCTGGGAGACTGTGACAGAATGCTGGAAACACTAGGAGAAGTCTAAAAACAAATAGAAAAACAAGGGCACATTTTCTTCCTCTCATATCAAACACAGGCAAAAATTTAAAGTTCATCAAAGCAAGCCCTGAGGGACACCTGGTATGTACTTATATTCAATTTGATAAGCTTATAGTTGATACCACATGGTCAGTGGTAGAATTTTGTGGACATCTAAAAATTGTAGTTTTTATAAGAGCCTAAAGATGGTGCCTAAAGGCTGATAACTACTAACATAGTAAGATAATTTACAGAATGCAAACAGAGACTAGTTGAGATCATAATTAAATTCAAGATAACAGTGTTCTCAAATAGCATCTGAAAAATAAGTTTTTTAAAAAGAATATGCTTTTAAAAATATTTAATAGAATTATATATATATACATACATATATATTTATTTTTAATTTTTTTTTTTTTTTAAATAAATATGTCAGGGGGAGGCAGGACTGGATGAAAGGGGATAAAGGAATTAGCCAAAGAACAAATATGCATAGCTCATGGACACAGAAAGCAATGCGGTGATGGCCAGAGGGAAGGGGTGGAAAATGGGGACATTTGTAATAGTGCAAACAATAAAAACAAAGTAAAAAAACAACAAAGTGTACCTTTAGTAAATAGAAATAATAAATGTGCTTTAAAAATAAACTTATGATCTGAACATGACTTAGCATTACAAAATTTCAATTAATTAAGATGTCTTATATTCCATAAATGCTTGCTTTTGATACTCTTACCTTAGACTGGTCAAGAATTTGAAGTTTTTCCCATACTATTTTATCACTTTCAGATTTTTCCCAAGTATTATTCCATTTTTCAGGAGTTTCTTTTTCTTTCTTCTTTAAAGCAACCTGTTCATCTGGAAATAATGTCCCTTTTAAAAAAATGTACAATAACTGCAAAAAAAATCATGTAAACAAATCATGACCTTCTTAAAGAGTGCAGATTCCAACACAGATTAAAATTGTTTTGTACGGAGGAGATTAACTCACAAGATAAAGAAAAATTTTAAAGGAGATGGAATAAAACATTTAATCAGAACCAAATTTAAGTATGGCACCAATGGATGTAATAATGTCTACTATAATTATCAATAAAGAGATTTTTTCAGGACAACATAGTTTATATCATGCTAATTATTCTGAGGTTCTACTTTCCTGAAATGTTCAGTCAATTTTTAGTAAGAGACTCAAAAGTAAAAACTCTGGATTCAGAGAAATCTGGGGGTCAAATCCAAGTTCAACTATTTCCCCACAATATGTCTATGGACAAATTACTGTTCACTTCTCTAAACCTGTTTGTTCTTCTGTAAAAAGAGAGTAATAATAGTGCCTATTTCAGTACAGGACCTGGCACAAAATAAATATTTAATAAATGTCAGCATTATTCATAACTGTAAAAAAAGTAAAAAATATAAAATCTTGTGTTAACAGAACAATATAAATAAACAAGACCCCAAATCAATAGTTCTTAAAATGTCAAAGATATATAAGTTTAAATTCCAAGAAAACGAATGAAAGCAAAGCTTTAAGAAAGAAAGATGTGCTTTTACTAACAGTATCAAGTAACAGTAAATTGTATTTTTAAAGATAATTAAAGCATAAAACACTTCAGTCATTTCCAAGTAGCTCCATATCTTACTTCAGAAGTTTTGTATTGTATTTTGATAAGCTGAATTTTATTTAAAAATATTTAAAGCTGAAATTATGCTATAAACACAGATCAGATCTCCAAATCTTCTCACTCTGTTACCATATATTAAATTTCTTCATTCTTCTATTACCATCACTTCCAATATCAATTCATTCCCTAATTCTTCTGCTTATCTCTTTTTCTACATCACCTATCCTGTACCAGCATGGCTGCCTCACAGGAGGGTGAAGCCCATCTTCATGCTCTTAGTACAGCTATTTCTAAAAGTACAACTGTCACTTCATGTATTTTCCAAACTATGGACTCCAAGTCTAGTCCAAGAAGCAATGGGAGTTTCTTAGTTATTATCAATATTTTAAGACCCTAACAAAAATTATAAATATTTCTGTTATACAGTTTCTACAGGCTGACAAAAAACAATAAGCTTATTTTTGTGTGGAATACACTAATTGATATCATACTGATAACTTGTCATTAGAACATTTTAATTATTTTTAAAAAATGAACTCAATTATTTTTAAATAAAACCATCTTTAAACCCATAGGATTTCTGTAATGAAAAAATATGATAAGTGGATTTTCAAGAAATGAGAAAAGTTTAGGAATCTTTTGAGATCCAGGAGCTCTAGAATGATACTGATGACATCAATGCTCACCTCTGGCTTTTGGTACACACCACAGAGTGCCAAACAAAAAGGTACAATGTGAGCGAATGTGAAACCACAATCTTCTTCTTTTTTTTTTTTTTTTTTTTTTATATATATTTATTGATTTTTCACAGAGAGGAAGGGAGAGAGACAGAAAGCTAGAAACATCGACGAGAGAGAAACATCGATCAGCCGCCTCCCGCACATCTCCCACTGGGGATGTGCCCGCAACCCAGGCACACGGCCCCGACCGGAATCGAACCTGGGACCCCTCAGTCCGCAGGCCGACGCTCCATCCACTGAGCCAAACCGGTTTCGGCCACAATCTTCTTATACATTTACAGAGAACTCCTCTAAATGGCAAATGTTATAACACAAGACTTTTGATAATATTATATTGAAGGATATATTTCATCCTTTATATATATTCTGTAAGTCAACCAAACTACAATAATAGGTGTTAATAATTACTTACCAAGCTCTTTCCTCCACTGGGCTTTTTTTGCTTCCAACAAATTTCTATCACGTTCTCTTTCCCCTAGAGTACTGAATATGTCCGCTGGTTTCCACACATTCTCTCTGAGACAAAACACAAAATAATGACTGAAACCTTATTACACATTTCGACACAACATACTCCATAGTATTCCGTAATAAACTTTTAACTAGCTCTTAGTCTTCAGAGTTAATATTTCATAAGAAAGTCAAGCAAAAATCATATTCATAAGATATGAGTTACATACATGGCAATTTTATGCTCAGACTGCTTAGATGTCTCCTGACTTTTATTTAAAACAGATTTATTTTCATCTTGGACACATGAAACAACCTCAGTTTTTTGGAGTAGTCCCATAATGTTCTCATCCTTTTGCTGATTAGGAATACTGTTTAAATGTAGACTGTACTGACCTAGGAAATAAAATGCATGCTTTAAAATTAACAGTATAATTGCATCTATTACAATACCTTATTTTAGCATACTGCTATACAGTTTAAAAAACATTGCCTTACACATCACCTAATTATTTCTCACAGCAATCTTTGCAGTGGGCATTATGACTCCCTTTTTGTCAAAAAGGAAACTGAGCCTCAGAGATTTAATGACCCAGATGTATGGCCACAGCCATACAAATTCCTGTACCAAACAAGCAACAACAACAAAAATAAACCTCCATTTATTCCTGCCAACATCACTTTTAAAAATAATATAAACAAAAACACAATTGACTTTATTGAGAATAAAAGCAAATAGCTCTATGAAAAACTCACTACCTTTTCCTAATTTAGCTGGGAAATCAGTGAAAAACTTTACCATGGACCACAGGCTTTATACCCCAGCTATAGCTATTCCAAATATTTTGGACTCATGCTTGGCTCAAAAACTATTCTACATTGCTCCTTAACATGCTAGTTCTCCTAGTGAAGAAAAAGCATATCTAATATGTAGGTCATTATATGACTAGGAAAATTCTTTTAACTTTATTGATATTTTCTCTCACTATCTTTGCTAAGTTTTTATTTTTTTGTTCTCTGAACTAGAATTCTAGACTTATAAGACAAAATTTAGCTTTCTCATTTTACAAAGGATAATCTAGACCAGTGGTTGGCAAACTGCGGCTCATGAGCCACATGTGGCTCTTTGGTCCCTTGAGTGTGGCTCTTCCACAAAATACCATGTGCGGGCGCGCATGTACAGTGCGATTGAAACTTTGTGGCCCATGCGCAGAAGTTGGTATTTTGTGGAAGAGCCACACTCAAGGGGCCAAAAAGCCGCATGTGGCTCGCGAGCTGCGGTTTGCTGACCACTGATCTAGACCAAGAGACAGTAGATTACACTATCTCAGCACCTTAGGAGTATATAGGAACTACCTGGTCTCCAAACCAGTTGTGGGAACTCTTCCTGGTGACCGTTAATTTTTTATTTATTTATTTCACTATTGACTCACAAAATGTTAATTATATTTCTACTCATATTCACAATTCTTCAGCTCAAAGCTGAAACAAGAAGGCTTTTAAGTACAATTATGATTAGTGAAACAGAAGGCATGTAATATTCTACTACTCCTTTCAAGTTTGTGTTTTAAAGGTAGTGCTGCCAATCCTTAGCATGGATTGAGAATTAGGAAAAGCAAAATGTAGGGGCCAGGAAAATCAACATTTTCAACAAGCAAGTCAAATCTTCATAGTAGGGATCCCTCAATTTTCACTAGAAGTACTATAATGGTTTGTTGGAACATTTTATATAATTCTTTTTAATGTAAGTAAGGTTTTTCTACATTCTAAAATAAGTACAATAGTGTTCTGTATTAACATCTTTTCTAGAGTTCACAGAAAACTGGATTTCTTAAGGTTATGGTTCATGAGAATAATATTCTGGGCATTAACTGTAAAATATAGCATATTATAAAAGTAATTCTGTATATTTATTTACCTTAAGAGACCAATCATTTTGAAAAATTGTTACATGTAAAATAGAATTTAAGAGGCACAGTTATGTAAAATTCAATGAACCTGAAATTCTAAAACATTTTATGTCAATAAAATGTATTAAAACTTCAGAAAGTCTTACTTGTTTCCTCCTCCTTTCCATTCTCTGTCAGAAACATGGGTCTATTTCCGTGGTTTACATTTATCAAAATCTGTTGTAGCTGGTCTTTTGTTAGACACACCAAACTACTCTTCATATTTTCACCTGTGATGTGATTTTTGCAAGGCTTCTGTTTAGCTATTACAGGTGTACTTAAGGTGTTCCCAGTCTTCTGTAGTTTAGGGGTTGTAGGTGAACTCTCTTTCCGGATATGAAGACAGTCTTTATCAGCATACTGCTTGCATAAATCCTTAGCCATACTATTTTTTTCACCTTTTACCAGTGACGTTTCTGAACCAATTCTCTTCTTTTCCAAAAGTTTTTCACTACTGATACAAGTATTTTGTGTTGATTTTAGAATGCATCTGGTTTGTTTTGTTCTTAAAGGACATTTTCCAATCTTGGTCTTATTTCCCATCTGTTAAGATACCAAAAATTTATTCTTTATAACAGCCCATGAAAAACCAATAATTATCTTGATATATATGATAAATCAGGCCTTTAATCTTTTTCCCATTTAGCTAATATATACCCAAAAGAAACTAACTTTTAACCTTTGCAAATCTTCACTTGAAAGCTTTATTTAATACTGGAAATTATTATTTTATTCAGAACTAGAGGGCTGGTGCATGAAATTCATGTGCAGGTATGGTCCCTAGGCCAGGCCTGCATTCAGGGCCATCTTCCCCAGCTGCCCACAGCTGGCCCTTCCCCCCCCGCCGCAACCCACTCCTAGTTCTCCATTTGCAATTGGATGACCGGTGCCTGACAACCGGGGTAAAGGACTGAGAGGTTGGCTGTTCCCACCCACTCGCCAGCCCCACCCCTGCCATAGGTGGCCATCAGGCAATCAGAGCCTGCCAGCCCGGGAAAGGCACCAAGAGGTGGTCAGTGGACCTCATAGTGACTCATCCAGCGGTTGTTCTGGTTGTTCTGCCGTTAGGGTCAATTTGTATATTACCCTTTTATTATATAGGATAATAAAGTATATAGAACTTTTATTCTAGTTGTTATAGGACATCTCCATTCTACTTCAGCACTGAATCTCATGTCGTGATTATATCATCCACACTACCTCTCCTCTTCATAAGCAATTATAGACCCATAGGCTACTAGCCCTTATTCCTTGAATAATTTAACCCATGGGTCATCACCCCTCTAACATAACTCTGCCTTAATTATCAGTGCTTTCATATCCATAGATCATGCTTCCAATATCTTGGTCTCTCATTTCCTTGAACACTGCTCCTATACTCTTGTCCTTCATGCTACCTCAGTTACTCATTCCCATAGTGATATCTTATACTGACTTTGTAACTACTCATAATTGCAATTCCTCCATAATCTATTTCTTTTTTTTTTTTTAATATATTTTATTGATTTTTTACAGAGAGGAAGGGAGAGAGATAGAGAGTTAGAAACATCGATGAGAGAGAAACATCAATCAGCCGCCTCCTGCACATCTCCTACTGGGGATGTGCCCGCAACCCAGGTACATGCCCTTGACTGGAATCGAACCTAGGACCTCTCAGTCCACAGGCCGACGCTCTATCCACTGAGCCAAACCGGTTTCGGCCTCCATAATCTATTTCAAGCACTGCACATGACCACCACCTCCTATTTTTTCCAGCTTAACTTTCTTAACATATCCCAACAATTCTCTAACTCTGCTGGGATCTATAATCTGTTGATCCTACCCCCTTCCTCTTGTCCTTGCATCCCTCCTTACCAATCTTAAATTCCATGATCAACCAAAACCATCACTGTTTTCCATTCTCAACTCCTCTGCTCTATGCCACATATACATGGCAAATCCCAAACCTGGTAAAATCTAACTTTTCACCTACTCTGTGCCCGCATCCAAGGAGAAAAACACACAGTTACAACATCTGATTTCATCTTAAATACATACCCAAGAACAACCAATGGGCTCTTCATGCTACCTGGCAAGCACACATTTCCAAAGTTCATTTAGTCTCATCTCATTCATTTAGCAATCATCTCAACTTTCTCCTAGCCCAGCGGTTCTCAACCTGTGGGTCATGACCCCTTTGGGGGTCGAACGACCCTTTCACAGGGGTTGCCTAAATCCTGCATATCAGATATTTACAACGATTCATAACAGTAGCAAAATTACAGTTATGAAGGAGCAACGAAAATAATTTTATGGTTGGGACTCACCACAACATGAGGAACTGTATTAAAGGGTCGCGGCATTAGGAAGGTTGAGAACCACTGTCCTAGCCCCTAATACTTTCTTTCATACTCATTCTCAGCTGAAGACCTTGATTAATATTTCACTGAAAATCTCACAAGGAAGTATTTAGAAAAAACTTTATTTCTACCATCAAATCTATACCAGCATCTGTACTCAGGCAAGCTGATTGCCCTCCTGTTACTTGGACACATCCCATAACCCTTTTTCTCAAGGCTCTCTCTCTAGCAATACTTTGCTTTTTCTTGAATCATCACCATTTCTTTTTTTTTTTTTTAATATATTTTATTGATTTTTTTTACAGAGAGGAAGGGAGAGAGATAGTTAGAAACATCGATGAGAGAGAAACATCGATCAGCTGCCTCCTGCACATCTCCTACTGGGGATGTGCCCGCAACCCAGGTACATGCCCTTGACCGGAATCGAACCCGGGACCCTTCAGTCCGCAAGCTGACGCTCTATCCACTGAGCCAAACCGGTTTCGGCGAATCATCACCATTTCTTTTCCACTGTTCACATCTTTTTTGCCATCTTAAAAAAAAATTCTTGATCCCACTTTCTCATCTTCTATAATCCCATTCCAAACAAGCTTTCACCCAACCACCTGACCCAAACTGCTCATCAAGGTCACTAATAATTTGTATATTGCTAAATTCAATTACCAATCCTCAAACTCTCATCTTACTCGACCTACTGGCAGTGTCCTACAGAGTTGATTATTCCTTCCATTTTGAAGCCCTTTCTCTATTTCACTTATAGGACTCCACAATCCTGGTTCTTCTTGCTGCTCCTTCTCAGTCTTTAGTGGTTTCTCCTTTTCTCTCAGATCTCTTAAACCTGGAATGCCTAAGGCTCAGTCCCAAGAACTCTTCTTGGGTTTCTAACAGACACTTCAAACTCACCATGTCCCAAATTAAACTCTTGATCTTCTTCTTGCCCTTAATAACTTCCTCCCCTCAGTCTTTCCTATCTCAGTTACTAATGCCAAAAATTTTACAATTATCCTTGAATCATCTCTGATATGCTTCATTTACCTTGTCATCAAACCTTGTTTTGCTCCATTTCCAAAATATATCCTGAATCTGACACTACTTTAAAACATCTCTTGCCACCTCTCTGTTCTAAGCCAACTACCTCATCGAAATTACTGAAAAATCTTCTAACTGGTTTTCCTGCTTCTACCCTTGCTCCACAGTCTATTCTCAACACAGCAGCCACTGTGATTATCTTAATACTAGAGGCCCAGCACGCACGATTCATTTCCACTTGCCTCAGCTGGCCGCCCCACCCATCTCGCAGTGCCCTCAGCCGTTCCTAGCTCTCTGCTGCTATAGCTCTTGGCCACTAGTAGCTCACGCCCCGCCCTCCACTGATGGTAGCTCCCCACTGTTAGTAGCTCACATCCCACCCACCGAGAGGCTGCTGCTTGTTTGGTCATAATCGCATTGTGGTGTGATGACCACAGGCCTGTTATGATATAGACTAGAGGCCCGAAATTCGTGCGGGGGGTGGGTGAGGTCCCCTTAGCCCAGTGTGCACACTCTCCAATCCGGGGCCCCTTGGGGGATGTCCAACTGCCGGTTTAGGCCCGATCCCAGGGAATCGGACGTACCTCTCACAATCCTGGGCCGCTGGCTTCTAATCGCTCACCTACCTGCCTGCCTGGTCGCCCCTAACTGTCCCCTGCTGCTGGCCAGGTTGCCCACTACTGCCTCCTCCCTGCTGGCCTGGTTGCTCCTAACTGCACCACCCCCCCCCCCCCCCCGTAGGCCTGGTCACCCCTTACTGCCCCCCTTGCCAGTCTGGTTGCCCCCAACTGTCCCCCTCTGCCAGCCTGGTCGCCCCACGCAGCCTGCTTGTTCAGTCGTTTGGTCGTCCCTCACTAACCCCCCTGCCAGCCTAGTCATATGGAGCCATTTTGTGAGGGCTAATTTGCATATTACCTCTTTATTATATAGTATGTTAAGTCAGGGCATGCCACTTTCTTCAAAAGCTTCCCATCTCACTTAGAAGAAAAACTGAACTTCTCACTCTGACCAAAAAAGACATAATGATCTGGCACACTCCCATTTGTCTCCATTATCTCATCTCTAATCTCATTCTCTCTCTCTTAGCCTCTAGCCACCAGGGCATCTTGTTCCTTAAATTCAACAAGAACCTGCAGTCTTAGTCCTTAGCGCTAGTCAGCTCCTCTACCTGGAATATTCTTCCTTCAGATTCTACATGGTTCATTCACTCACCTCCTTCAAATATGTGCTCCAATATCACCAGCTTAGTGAGGTCCTCTCTGACCGCTCTATTTAAAACGGCAGGTTTCCTGCTCTATTTTCACTCCCACCTCCCTACCTCTTTTTTCCCAGTAGGTGTTCAATAAATTTTTGTTCAATGACTATCCTTAACTATGCCATTTTAGAAAATCAATTCTTTCTCCTCTCTCCTCCAAATTAGCTCCCCTTTCCAAAATATCCCATTTCTGTGGCTCTGCTAATCTCTCATACCAGAAACCATGGAGTTATCTTTGACTCTTTATCCTCCTTTTATAGTCTTCTTTAGCTAACCAGCAAGTATTGGTTCTTACTTTCAAGCCTTATTCTCACCATTTACACAACAATAAGCCTAAAACCAGGTTTTCATTTCATTTCTAGTTCACAGCCAGACTATCTCAAATTTATCCCATTTAATCCACTAAACATTTCTGCAAACCCAACCAACCTAAAATAAGTCAACAGTCATTTAATTATTAAGTGTTGTTTTTTATGGGCTCACCACCATGGGAAAAAGAATTGGACCTGTAAAGTTGAATTAAGATAATAGTCTTGCTATCAAGGAATGAAGTAGATGCACATGGCTTTCATCTAGCTTATCATCCCAATTTTCCCTGTCTTACAATAAATTACATAATACACAACCAAACTTGACCAATTCACCAATCCCATTTTGTCTTACTTTTCAAAATGGCCCTGTAAAATCAGCCACAAGATTCCTTTATTATCTTATTCACCTCACCTACACCTATTTATTGCTGGCTTTAGGCTTTGATACCGCAATCTAAAATACCTTTGTGTTCTCCTATCCCTGTGGCTGTTTTAATATAACGAATTCTGTAAATGAGAGGTAGAAAACTCAAATACCTATTGTATTGCAGACTGGGTGGGAGCTAGGATAAACTGAACAGCACTTTTCTGCCTAAAGGAGAACTAAACTACACTACCAAACACACACACACACACACACACACACACACACACACAAAACAAAAACAAAAAAATACTATACTAAAAAAAAAATCTATTTACTAGGTCAGTGGTCGGCAAACTCATTAGTCAACAGAGCCAATTATCAACAGTACAACGACTGGAATTTCTTTTGAGAGCCAAATTTTTTTTTTTTAAATATATTTTATTGATTTTTCACAGAGAGGAAGGAAGAGAGACAGAGAGTCAGAAACATCGATGAGAGAGAGACATCGATCAGCTGCCTCCTGCACATCTCCCACTGGGGATGTGCCCGCAACCCAGGCACATGCCCCCGACCGGAATCGAACCTGGGACCCTTCAGTCCGCAGGCCGACGCTCCATCCACTGAGCCAAACCGGTTTCGGCAAGAGAGCCAAATTTTTTAAACTTAAACTATATAGGTAGGTATATTGTTATTAACTTAATTAGGGTACTCCTAAGCTGGCCTTTGCTAAAAACATCCTCATTTTATAACAATAAAGCCACCAACACAAAATAATTACAATTCTTAAATTGATGACAAAAATACCTGTAGGATTTGCAGCTGGTTGGAAAAATACTGGTAACTTTATGCTTCGAGTAGGTACTTTTGTCACTAGCACTAACCACTGCACTACGAGACTGCTGAATGACTGGCTCACTCGTGCATGAATTGCGTGCGCCTCCCCTGCGCTGTGTATCCCGCAGCCCGCCTGGGCCACGTCTCCTGTCGCCCAACCGACCGACACCCCCCACTTCTTCTAACACCACTTCTTCAAAATGGACTCACCCAGGCCAAAAACCGACTTCTGCGCAGGGGCCACGAAGTTTCAATTGCACTGTACGTGCGTGCCCACACATGGTATTTTGTGGAAGAGCCACACTCAAGGGGCCAAAGAGCTGTATGTGGCTTGCGAGCCGTGGTTTGCCAACCACTGTACTAGATCATCCAATATTTCAAGGAAACCAAGAATGCCATATTTTATTTTAAACTTTCCAATATATTTTTTTAAAATATATTTTATTGATTTTTTTTTACAGAGAGGAAGAGAGAGGGATAGTTAGAAGCATCGATGAGAGAGAAACATCGATAAGCTGCCTCCTGCACGCCCCCCACTGGGGATGTGCCCGCAACCGAGGTACATGCCCTTGACCAGAATCGAACCCAGGACCCTTCGGTCTGCAGGCCAACGCTATATCCACTGAGCCAAACCGGTCTGGGCTAAATTTTCCAATTTTTAGATATTGGCACCTCATTCTAGTTTTTGAAAACCACTTTGTGGATTAAGCAAATTATCAGCAGACTGCACATAGCTTATACAACTGAACCCTAACACCTCATTTAGTTTCCAACTACTACAGCACCTACTAATCTCACCCTTCTTTGACTTATACCAGCCTTTTTTTTTTTTGAGTCATTAGCAGTTAAGCATTTCATTTCTCTAATTAGTGTCTCACTCGAACTGCTAAATGCAGTGCATTCCCTTAACATATCTTGAAAACCATTCACTTCTGTCCCCTTCTTTAACGAATCTGTTATAACTATCCTTCAGAGTTGCCTGAAGCTCTACAACACAAATTAAAATATATCTAGCCCACTTTTCAAAAATTCTTTAATGTTCCCAACATGAAGGTAAAATAAATTCAAACTGAGTATTCATTTTAACTCTTCATGATTGTAATCCCACCAAGCTTTATGTTCTACACTTCCCCAAGGTACACACTATTCCTCAAATGCAAATTATGCTTTGTAGCTCAGTATTTTGCCCACCATTTTGAGCTCAGAATATGCTTCCTTACTTCTTTGGCTGTAAATATCTCCCTCATCTTTTAAGTTCTAATTAAAATGTCACTTCATTTATGAAGTATTCCCTGGTCTTTTCAAACCACAAAGAGTTGCTCTTTTCAATGTTTTCAATATATATATATATATATATGTTATTGATTTCATAGAGGAACGGAGAGGGAGAGAAACATCAATGATGAGAATCATTGATCGGTTGCCTCCTGCACGTCCTCTACTCGGGATGGAGCCCACAACTCAGGCATGTGCCCTTGACCGGAATCGAACGCAGGCTGACACTCTATCCACTGAGCCAAACCAGCAAGGGCTGTTTTCTTCTATTTATAACCCTAATATGACACCCATTTTATTCTTGTATTATATAGTTATTTACCTGATTGATACTCCCACTTCCAGGAAACAAGGACTAGGTTTTACTCTTCTCTCCCAGTCACAGAATAAAGCCAAGAATACAGCTCTACACATATATTGGACTTTTACAGTGTAGTAAATCCTTGTTAAACAGAAACCTACTAATTGGAGCTCTAATTTAACTAGAATTACTTCACCACATTCCAATTACATCAGAAATAATATACACACAAAAAGAAAAGAAATAAGAAACAAAAAATGCAAAAACAAAGAATATACGGAGAAGATCTTCAAAAATATTTAACAAAGGGGTGGATAAGAAAAAACTTGGCACAAGGACACTATACATTCAGCTCAACTCTGAATACTTTTTGTAGCTTAATGCCAAAGAATAATGAAAAGAGGCAGCAAAAAAATTGTAAACTACCAAATAACTATTCAATTATATTCAAGTTACCCAATAAGAAAAAAATGTAGCCCAAATCATTTCCCCAGTGGTTATGGAATAAGATGACTTTAATAGCTCAAAAAGGAGGGTCTTTGTCATAAACATTTTTAAGTAGCATGTTGCTCTTTTACCTAGTTTAATTCTACCAATATTTTTCATAATATAAAGACAGTATCCAATGCAGTGGTTTAATATTGGCTGATTTCACAATTTCTGAGGCAAGGATCCCAAGGCCAGAATCAGAGAAAAGTAACATTTTAAAATAGAAAATGTGTAGTCCTGGCTGGCATTCTCAGTGGTTGGAGCTTCAGTCAAGAGCACTACCTGGGCGGCAGGTCCAATCCCCTCCCCCATTGGCACGTGTGGGAGGCAACCAATCACTGTGTCTTTGTCACATTGATGTTTCTCTCTCACTCCCTCTAAAAATCAATGGAAAAAATATCCTCACTCCTCCGGTGAGGATTAAAAATATATACTAGTATATAAAATGTACTTCCTAGCACTAATATTGTATATATCTTTAATGTGTCACTAATTTTCACATGTAGAAAAACCTATACAAAAATTTTTAATGTTTTATATTTCAAATAATTTGTGAGATAATTTTAAGTTTAGAATTCATAAATTATTCATGACATTAAATCATTAATTTTTTTTTCATTTATCTTCCTATAAGCCTAAGAAATAAGGCTGGTAACTATCTTCACTTCATATTCATTAATACAGATTCAAAATGCAAAAGAGATTTTGATAGAATTAAGAAAGTTCTCTGACCACACGTGTTAAACTAGATGGGAGAGTTCAGCTGTGTTTAAAGAGCACATCACGAAGACGGTAGTAATTCAACCCGTGAGGAATGGGCAAAACAATTGTAGATAGGTATTGTAGGAACTTACCCCAGTGGGAAAAAAGAAAAGCACCATGAAGAGAGAATTCATGAATAACTTACTAAAAAAAAAGAATTAAACATATAGCTGCCAAATTGTGAAGTTTAAGTTAAAAAACTGACTAACACAAAAAAGGAAAACAAATACTAGTGTTTGGGATTTTTATCTTCTGTGAAGAAAGAAATGAGGATCTCGGCAAGCTCTGTAAACAAGGGAAGAAAAGCTCCCTGAAATAAAATCAATATCGAAGGAAAACTTAGGTTGCATCAGTATTTTTTTCCAGTTTTACTGAGGTATAATTGACAATTTAAAAATTGTGTTTATTCAAGGTATACAACGATAATTTGTTACATGTCTACACTGAAATAATCACCATACTCAAGCTAAATTAACATAACCTTCACCTCATGGTTACCATTTATCAGTATTTTGGAGTTTCAAAAGCAAGAGGGATAAATCCAAACAACTTGCTTTAAGATATATAATTTAAAATCAACATCATCTGTGACTTATTAGTTACTCTAGAAACTAGAGTAAAATATCCCTAGACCACAGATAAAATTTTGTAATGATTCTACCAAAAGTCTGACTAGTAACTTTATTTACTTATAGGCATGAAAGGCATCTCCAGATGTTCTACGTTAAAAAAACAATTAAATGTCTTCACAAAAGTGGTGTAGCTAGCAAGTCCATCAAGGACAACAACGAAAGAGGGAACATGTGAGAGAGAATAGAGGCTAGGGGAGGTAGAAATCATCTAGTACAAGTAGCTTTTAATTTAGAAGCTTAAAGGGGCACTGTACTGGTTAATGTGGCTCAAATAAAAATAGTTGCAATATTTTAACAGGGCAGGGCCAGGAAAAAATACACAATCTGTAGTCAAACATTAAGAAACACAATGTATGTAAGTATATACCATGTACAGAGAGAAATAATTTTTATTGGTAGCTTGTGGAATTATTCTAATCATCATCATCCATTTATCAATATGGTGGGTACTAAAGCAAACTCTCCCCCTTGATTAAACCTGGAAGAAACAGCAAAGACATCAAGGGCTCAGAGTTGAAAAGTGCCATATCATCCCCAAAGGGCTCCATTCATAATCATGCAAGAAAAACTTTAAGATGCTGCAAAGAAAAAGGAAAAAAGGGAATAAAGTTAAGGAAGAGTAGAAATTTCTGCTGATGTTAATCTAAAAATAAAAAAAAAGAGTACAGGCAAAGTAGTGATATCAAACATTTTTTTAATAGTTGGTAATGTAATTTTGTTGAAAAAGGCACTATGGCCCTAGCCCAGGGGTGGGCAAACTTTTTGACTCGAGGGCCACAATGGGTTCTTAAACTGGACCGGAGGGCCGGAACAAAAGTATGGATGGAGTGTTTGTGTGAACTAATATAAATTCAAAGTTAACATCATTACATAAAAGGGTACGGTCTTTTTTTTCAATAGTTTTATTCATTTCATATGGGCCGGATCCGGCTCGCGGGCTGTAGTTTGCCCACAGCTGCCCTAGCCGGTTTGGCTCAGTGGCTAGAGCAGGGGTGGGAAACCCCTGGCATGCGTGCCAAAGATGGCACGCCAGCAACTTTTGCTGGCACGTGAAACCCTCTCTTATAATCTTCCATTTACAATTTTTTTCTGAATATCGACTTGTTTATATTTCAGATAAATTCAGTGTAGGTGCATCTTAGATAAATAATTATACGTTAACAAGTTATCTTAAAGACCATAGACATGGCTGACTTTGAAATGCAGTTGATTGAATTTCAGAGTAGCTCAAGTTGGAAGCAGAAATTTATTGACCTTAGAGTTGACTTGGAAAACATTGAAAAAAAGCGATTAGAGACAGGAGTACCAGAGAGAAGTGTCGAAAACGAACTATTGAGGACTTGGAATGCCATTCCAGAAAATTTTTTCTGTTTAAAAAACTTTGCAACAGCGTTACTCTCCCTGTTTTCATCCACATACGCTTTTGTTCTCAGTGATGAATTTTGTTAAGTCTCGTAATAGGAGTAGCCTGACGGATGAAAGTAGTAGCTCGTGCATATCTCCAAAGGTCACGAAATATAAACCTGATGTAAAATCTCTGTCATCAGTGATGCAGCAGCAAAAGTCCCACTGATAATATCAAATGGAGTCATATAGTTTTCTGTCGGACTATCAGTGTACATGTATACACCAAAAAATAAATGTATTTTTCATCATTATATACTGTGTTTTTGTCGCTCGAATGAATTTTATTATTTCTTCAAGGTTCTTCACATACGTACACCTTAAGAGATATCAAGTAGGCGTAACATGTTCTCAAAAAATTAGGTTGGCACCAGAAGAATTTTGAGTCAGATTTTGCTGGCTTTGGCACGCACTCACGAAAAGGTTGCCCACCCCTGAGCTAGAGCGTCAGCCCACCAACTGAAGGGTCCCAGTTTCAATTCCGATTTCTTTCAAGGGCATGTACCTTGTTTCAGGTTACCCGGCCCTGGTTGGGGTGCGTGAAGGAGGCAACCAATCAATGTCTCTCTCTCACATAGATGTTTCTCTCTCTTTCTCTCCCTCTCCTTTCCACGCTCTCTAAAAATCAATGGAAAAATATCCTTGGTGAGGATTAAGAAAAAGAAAAAAGAAAGAAAGAAAAAGGCACTATGGTTCCCTGATTTAAAAAAAATAAAATGTTAAAGAAAAATCATCATTAAGCTCAAGTTTGATCTCTTAAAGGAGAAAGCTAAATGCATATTAAGAATTTGTGAATCAAATATACCCTTTTGGTGTGGAAAAATGGCATCAGTATGAGGATGTATAGTATAGGGAACATAGTCCATGTTGTATTATCTGTGTATTGTGCCAGGTGAGTATGCTTTTTAAAGTTTATTATTGTCTAATCACTATGCGGTACACCTGAAACTAATATCAACTGCAATTGAAAAATAAAAATGTTAAAAAATGGAATGAGTACGAAAGAAAATATTTTTGTTTTCAAGTATGAATATCTATTTTTAAACATCTTGGGAACTGTACTGTCCAGTACAGTAGCTATTACATTTAAAATTAAATAAAATTTAAAATTCACTTCCTCAGTCAACATACCACTAGAGGGTCGCTACCATATTGAAAGCACTATTTTTAGAACATTTCCAGCATTGAACTAGAGAAAAGGGTTCTAAAAGGCTTTTACAACAGAAAAATTATTATTCCATTCCTGTGAAAGAACCAGCCTGAAGACAAGGGAACAATAACTTCTTACCATCACTCCTAACTCCTTATAATATTTTAGCACAGATTATTTTCAAATCACTGTAAGAAAACACATTTTACATTTGAAAATAGGTCAGGTCAAAGTCATTTGTTTGGCTTACCTTTACAGAAATGTTTGATTTACGTTCTAAAAAAGAAAAAAAAAAATTACTAAACTATCAACTGAAAACAGACTAAGGCAGTTATAAAATTAAATTAGCATTGTTTTAAGATATTATTACCAGTAGAAATATTAACCCCAAAAAGCATTAACTTTAGGTCCTGAGTGCTGTTTTATAGTATGGCTCAAACATTTCTACTTCATTTTTATTTTCCAAGGTAAAAACTATAAACAGGTCAGGGAAAAAGAAAATAATGTGAATGAGAAGATGACCAAAGTATATACTCTGAGTTTTAAAATTAATATGAAAAATGGCTTTAGCAACTGTGGTCTTACTGTAGATTTTCTCAAACATTACATTCTTTACATGCACAGAACTTAAGTACATTTTCACTTAGGTTATACATTAGGCAATTGGGATATTTGCCATATGCAAATATAATGAAGAGATATATAACGCATGAACTATATTGGAACATTAAATTTCATGAATACTGACAGTGGTAAGCAGTGATGTACCCTGAATTGGCTAAAAATCAATTTGAGGAAGTTAGGGTAAACTGCTTTTTTTCAAAGTACCATTTAAATATCCCTCTACTACAAGTAAAAAGTCAGTTAAAGTAGTAAAAATTTTATATAGGAATTTTAAAAGTTAACATTTTTAGATTCCAGTAACAGAGCATACCATATGGAGACAATATTAGCTTGGTTTTTCCATCCAATAATTCAGTTTCAAGCTTTAAACCATCTCTGCAAAATAAAAGAAAATTGTCTGTAAGAAACAGCAACATTTTAAATAGCCAGAAATGCTCAATTGAACCTGAAAGTAAATGTTCTTTTGAGTTACACAGGAATCTTGTAAATATTAAACCATTCTTTTAATTAAAAACATTTTCAATCAAAGATAAAACTGAAACTACAGGGAGATCCACATTATTGAAACTTTCCAATAATTAAAAGAATTATCTTTAACCTGACACTTCATTTTGTTACTAGTAAGCAACAAATTAATTCAGTTATTATATTATCACTTAATTCTTATAACTCTAGACTGGAAAAAGCAATGCTAACAAAACTCAAGTTAAAGGAGCAAAACATGTCTAACTCCATTTATTAGTTTCATAATGGTCTCCTGATGAACCTATTTTATGGCATGCTAGTGCATTATTTGAAAATGAGCTATCACACTGCCACCCCAGTTACTCACTGTTTGAGCGCAGATGCTTTCAATATTCAACGAATATATATTCACATTTACTGACACATTTATCACAACAATAAATCTACAGGGAGGGGCAAATGTAGCTTCACAGTTTTGAGTATTCAAAATAATTGATTCTTGTGTTATTTGTTAATTATTGTATTACTTTCCATACGAACAACTGTAAATCTACTTTTGCCCTGCCCGCTACAAGAAACTGTGGCTGCTATACATTTTTTAAAGATTTTTAAACTGATTTTATGGACAGAGGGCGAGAGAGGAAAACATCGGCGGCCTCCAGCACGCCCCCTACTGGGGATGGAGCCCGTGCCCCGATTGGGGGGGGGGGGGATGCAACCGGCAACCCTTCGGGGCTCGGGATGGGACGGCGTCCAACCCCCTGAGCACACAGGCCGGCCGGCTCCTCTACTCTTCACTTGTGCGCGTCAAAGCAGAGAGCAGGGTCCCGGCAGAAGCTGCCGATAAACGCGTGCATCTGTGAAGGTCCTCATAAAAACTCCTCTAAAAACAACAGCAGCAGCCCACAAAGTTAATTTACTATTTTAGCTTAAAAAAAAAAAAAAAGGTGGGACAAAAGTGACTTCCAAGAGACAAAACTCACTCCGGCGGGCCAGTCAACGAAGAGCGCGGTTGGGAAGGTCTGACTAGGAACACGAAAAGGAGGTGTTTGGGGGGGAGAAGGGGGACACACGTCACCTCGAGGTGCCGACCAAGATAAAACGCTGGGAAAGGCGGCTCCGAGGGCTCCCCTGCTGCGGGGATACCAAGAGTCCGTGCTGACATCGGTGAAACACACACTTTAAATCAGCGGTTCTCAACCTTCCTAATGCCGCGACCCTTTCATACAGTTAGTTCCCCATGTTGCGGTGACCCCCAACCATAAAATTATTTTCGTGGCTACTTCATAACTGTAATGTTGCTACTGTTATGAATCGTCATATAAATATCTGATATGCAGGATGTATGTTCATTGTTACAGATTGAACATAATTAAAGCATAGTGACTAATCACAACAACAATATGTAATTATGTATGTGTTTTCCGATGGTCTTAGGCAGCCCCTGTGAAAGGGTCGTTCGACCCCCAAAGGGGTCGCGACCCACAGGTTGAGAACCGCTGCTTTAAATGAAACCGCAGAGAACACCTGTTGGGCAGCACCGCGCGCGGTAAATCCCGACCGGCTGCCCTGTTTTCTTGTTCCTGAATCCTGGAACAAAAAGTCTACATGCCAGACGATGGGAAGTGGCCTGCGTTCGGTGACTTTTCGCCTCCTTAAAATATTAAACTTCTCAGGGATGAACACCAGGCAGCAGTCCTCTGTATTTACTCAGCGCCGACGGAGGGGCCGGTCCTGCGCGGCGCACAGGCAAGGCCGGTTCCGAGGGGCCCGGGCCCCGCGGCGGGCGTTCACCTCCTCCGCGCGCCCGCACAACCTGCAGACCACCACGGCAGGTGCAGAGAACCGGCCTGGGCCAGGCTCCTCCCCGGAACCCGCCATCCCCCTCCTCCCCCGCGTTTACCCCACTCCTGCACGCCGCTCCTCCCTCAGGAGGGAAAAGGGGCTTTAACTCCGTTGCGAAGTGGAAAGCGAGGGCAGTGGCGGACGGTGAAGGCCGCCCCGGAGCCCCGCCCACTTCACCTCAGGGCGCCGCAGGCCCCGAAGGTTCTCCGGGGAGCCCCGGGGCCCACCCAGCCTCACGCCCTCTCAAGTGGGGCCCCTTTCCCAGCCCGGCTTACCCCAAGTTCATGGCCTGACCTCTCGCTCCCTCCACGGACGCCCAAGCCCCTTGTGTACGTCGGTTGCCGGAGCGGATCAAGAAGCTCGACGCCGATTGGGTACAGCCATGCCGGCGAGGCGGAGAGAGGACCAATCGGGGTTGGGTTTGCTGGTGGGTGAGCTCATGGGGCGCAGCTGTGCGGGGACCGGCTTCCCGTGCCCCACCTGGCGCTCCGGGTCCGCACACGTGGGTGGGAGAGGGCTCCGTGCCTCGGAATAGTGCCCGCCCCAGAGGTCAAGCCCTCGGAGAAGTGCCTCAGCCCAGGTGGAGGTGGCAAAAACAGGGAGAAACAAAAAGCATACACGTTTTTAGGAATTTAACGTTTTCTAAGTTTTATACCCGGAATAGAGGCTTGTTTAAGGGTACAATAAGTGAGAAGGGTACGGGAGGAAACCACTAGGGCGGGTGCAGGGCATGGCTTGTTTCTTGCCCTGACCTCAAGCACGAAGCCTAGCACATTGTAGCTCTTTGTAAATTAGCAGCAACAGTTACAGGTGCTCAGCAAATTAAGCTTTCAGATGCCAGACATGGATCTAGGCCCCTCGTGTCTACTATTGAAGCTTTACAACATCATCCTTGAGGCACAGAGAAGTGAAGCAACTTGTCCCAGGGTCCCTCGCTGATCCAGAGCCCGTGCAGGGCCCAATCTAGTGTTACCTGAGTCTAACTCCTATTCCTCCTCCAAATACCACCCTGAGCGCCTCCGGAGGCCACTAGCCGGTAGAACAGGAGCCGGTTCTCTGACCTCCCCAATCAGATCCTAATGCATCGGAGATCCTGTGTCAGCATGAGCTTCCGGGCAGACAGTTGCCACCATTCGCCTCGATCGCGGAGCAGTATAGACAGCACATATTTCTTAAACGAATGAACAGCAAAAAAAAAAAAAAAAAAAAAAAAAAAGACAACTTTATAAAATTCGACTGAATTATATTTCATGATGAAGATGCCCCTGGATGACAATGCAGTTACTAAAAGTTCACAGTTTTTTCATCTACTCTTATGTGATTTTTTACAAACTATAGTTGTAATAAATTAGGCACATTGAATTCTCTTGGGACATTCAGTGAAAACTCAGAGATTTTTAATATTTACTATGTACCTGGGACGTAGAGGATATGTTTAAGTAAACATTTGTTAACTTACTTGACTGAATAAATAAAGAGGTACCAATGTACATTTGACCCCATGTTTTTGTTTTTAAGGAATTCTTATCGATATATCTATATATTAAAAAAAGGTTTAAAGGATTTAAAGCAACATGTTAACAGGAGTATTTCTGGGAGGTAGGATGGTGTGACTTTAAATTTTTTATTTTGTTTCTAACTTATTATGAAAATGTTTAAGTAAACAACAAAAAAATGACAGAATAGTACAATGAACAACTGGATCCTCTGCCTAGATCTGACAGTTGTTAATGTTTTGCACATTTCCTTTATCATTCTCTTCCCCTCCCCCCCCACAGGAGCAGGCAGGCACACCCATCCCCATCTCCCTAAATACACACACACTTCTTTTTGCATCACTATTTGCAAGTTAGTTACAGACATTATAACACTTCCCATAAACATTAAAAGTCTGTATCTCCTAAGAATATGATCTTCTATTAATCGTAGCATTATTATTACACCAAAGAAAGTTAGCAATTTCATGATAACATCAAATGTTCTGTCCCTATTTATGTTTCATCTCTATTTAACTTTCCCACTTATACTAAGAATATCTTACAGCTTTTTATTGAGAAAGCCAGAGCCAATCAAGGATTACACATGGCATTAAGGATCCTTCCTCTCTCTATCTCTATCTCCCTCTCTTTCCTGAAAAACACAGTATATTTATTAATAAACGATTAACCTTTACATATTTTATTTTTTACTATAGAAATATTTATAACAAAAATTTCTATTTAAACCATTTTCAAGTGTACAATTCAGTGGCACAATGTTGTGCAACCATCACCAATATCAGTTTCCAAAATGCATTACCTCAAACAGAAATTGTATACTCATTAAGAAACAATTCTCCAATTCTTCTTTTCCCCAAACCCCTGGAAATTTCTAATCTCATTCTGTCTCTTTATGAATTAGTCTATTCTAGATATTTCACATAAGTGGGTGCCGGGAGCCGGTCCATGCTTGCTGTTTCAAGGGACCTGGCATATGGCATACTGTTCTTAATATGTTTGCTCACCTTCTTGGCACTATGTGTTTTAACCAAGGTCTCTGAGAAAGGTTGTTTCCCCAGGTAGGGATTTTCCCCTGAAGTTAGGGAGGGAATAAAACTTCTTAACTAAGTGCTAGGTGGGTAATTAATCACTTTAACTACGAACAATCATGCTTAAGCTACATAATCTTTACTCCCTGGAATGGAGATAAGAAACGCCCTAACCTTTGTAATAGAGATTGATAGGATTGAATCAACTGGTATAAATACAGATGTAATAAGACAGCAAGACTCAGAACTTAGAATACAGAGCTTAGAACACAGAACTAAGAGAGACAGAACCTAGGCACAGAACCTACACAGAACGTTCTCTAGAGACAGAAGAACTTCGCTGGAGAGAACATGGCAAAAGATCCTGGACAGAAACTGGCCTCAGAACCTAGAGACAGAACCTAGCGAGAGAACATGGCAAAAGATCCTGGACTGAACCTGACTACAGAAATTGGCAAGAGAACCTGACTAGAACCTGGTAACTGAACCTGGCTGGAGAACCTGGACAGAACCTGGCTGGAGAACCTAGTGAGGGAACATGGCTACAGAACCTGGCTGGAGAACCTGGAGAACCTAGCAAGAGAACATGGACACAGAACCTGGCTGGAGATCCTAAGCAGAACTTCGCTGGAGATCCAGACCAGAACTTGGCTGGAGATCCTGGCTAGAGATCCTGGCTAGGCTGCTGATCAACTGAACGCTATCTCCGTGTCCTTCCTTCCTTCGCCGACTCCGTCTATGCCTTTGGGAACCCCTGGACCTGCTGGGGTTGGACCCCGGCAAGTGGGGTCATATAATATTTGTCCTTTTGTACCTGGCTTCTTTCTAGCATAATGTTCAAGGTTCATCCGTATTGTGGCCTATATGAGAACTTCACTCCTTTTTATGGCCAAATAATATTCCATTGTGTTTATATATACCACATCTGTGTATCATTCTTCTATGGGCAGGTGGGTTGTTTCCATGTTTTAGCTCTTGTGAATAATGATGCTGCAGTGAATGTTGATGTCTGTTTGAATCCCTGTGTGTTAGTCAGGGTTCTCCAGAGAAACAGAACCAATAGTGTGTGTGTGTGTGTGTGTGTGTGTGTGTGTGTGTGTGAGAGAGAGAGAGAGAGAGAGAGAGAGAGAGAGAGAGAGAGAGAGAGAGAGCTTTTACAAAGAAATATTTTCTGCCTGAACAGCGTGGCTCAGTGGTTGAGTGTTGACCTATGAACTATGAGGTCACGGTTCAATTCCTGGTCAGGGCACATGCCTGGGTTATGGGTTTGATCCCCAGTGTGGGGTATGCAGGAGGCAGTGGATCAATGACTTTCTCTCATCATTGATGTTTCTATCTCTTTCTCCTTCTCCCTTCCTCAATGAAATCAATAAAAACATTTTTTTAAAAGAAATGATTTCTTTAAAATTACAGTAGGTTTTGAAAACTTTTTACTATGAAGGGAAGAGAGCTTATAACTTACTTAGTTGTCTGTACTCCCCTGAATTTAACTTTCAATTAAGTCAATTTTAAGGGCAGTGCAAGACTTTCCTAAGATGATGAATGTATACATCTTTCTCATCACAAAGTAAACAAAAGTAATTATGATTATTTGAATAGTTTATATCAGTAAAAAAAAAGCATAAGAAAAATCTCTTCATATGCATTAGTTTTGCTTAGTCACCTAAATTCCAAATGTGTAAATCATTTCCTTCTTTAAATACTGTGTGTATTTCATCTCTGTATGAATAAATTGGTGCTTTTATCAAGTGCCTGATAAGGTAGTCTTAAGTTAAAATCATGTTTTTATTTTGCTTCTGGGAGTTTGCATCAACCTGGGTCCAATCAGGAGAGAGAATTCACACCATAATTTGAACAGGGAACGTTTAATATGAGAATTGTTCATTCTAACAGGAGATTGGTGTAATGAGAGGTTGGGTAGTAAGAAGTAAAGAGAGCTCTATAAACTACAGGAATAACAGATATAAGAAGCAGCTAGACAAAATACCCACGGGAGAGCCTCCTTGTCCCCAGGACTGAGATTGCTGACCTTGCTGGAGGTTTGTGCCTCTCCAGGGTCCTGGAGGAATCTGTTCACGAAGGTGTCTCACCAGCGGCCCTCCACTACAAAACTGCCTGAGCAGGTTGCTGGGGAACTGCAGGTGGCTGTGTGCTGCGGACCACTGTGCTCTACAGGAGTTGAGTGCTGGGGGCTGGAGACTCCATGCTGCAGGAGCTGGGAACTGGGGGAAGCCTCATTTGCAGAGGAGCTGGATTCTGGGGACCCTGCCATGTAAGTACACTGGACTCAGGAACAGGACTTTTTCTTGTTGCAGTGTCTCTCCAGCCCCCCCTCTACTGAGAAAGCTTAACATCCTGTCAGCTACAAAGGAAACATGCTCAAAGGGCCCAAGTGCCCTTTGAAATGGGCTCAGGTGCCAGGCGCCCGCAAGGAGCACACCCCGCACCCATACAGCGTCTTCCTGGTGAGCCAGGCTGCAGCCGCAGGACTGCAGGGACCAGTCGAGCTCCCCGTGGGTTCACGCAGGAGCCAGTCTGCAAGGCTGGCCAGGAGAGAGCACGCTGCCTGCCCAGCTTCCGTGCAGCACCACTGGGTGGCCCAGAGGCCCATGCTCTCCCCCGGCCTGCAGCGTCTGGCCGTGATCACCACATCTCCACGTGGGGACTCGGGTGTCATGACTCAGGCAGAGGGGGGTGCATGTGGGGGCCCAGAGGCCTAGGTGCTGCCCAGGGCCCAGAGGTCAGCTGGGACCTGCCCTTCCGTGCCAGACGTTCATGCTTCGATCACTGGCCAGGCCTAGGGACTGCACCCATGCACGAATTTCGTGCACCAGGCCTCT